TATATATATATATATTTAAAATCTGGACAGGATTTCAACTCCTAATATGCAATCAGCAATCCTTATATACCAATCACCCTTATACTTAGAGATCTCTAAAGCTGGCCATACACTGCCCCTATTTTTTTTGTTCAACCCATGGGCTGAATGAAAGAAATAGAGCTGATTCCTCCATCGATGCTATGAGTGCGTTGATCGAGGAATCTTCGCTGTTTCTTTTGTATTCTGACAGCGGACGTTGTCAGAATGCCCTAAGAGGGCCGCCGGCTCATTGGCTGCCGGCTCTGTTTGCATGAAGATTTTCCAACCAGCTCCTTTGATCAGCTGAGCTGAAAGAGTGCTGGCCGTGGCACCCACTGTGCAAATTTCGGCCAGTTCCTCATGAACTGGATGAAATTTGCACAGTGTATGACCACCTTGCGTATAAGTGGGATTGGTATATAAGGTTTGTAAATTATCATGTTGTCATGTCATCCCAGTCAATCAAGTGCTGTCAAAAAACTTACCTAATTGCCATTATTCTTCTATGAGATAGGCTGTCGGATCTGTTAGTGCCACTCGTCTGCAGCCTGCGTCTCTGACAGGCTCCTTCCATCAGCTGCTTCCTGAAAAACCATCCGAAATTCGCATAATGTATGGCCAGCTTTAGAAAACATGGGGACTATGGAAGCAGACCTCCTGCAGCAGTTTTTTCCTGTTGTCACCTGTTAGATTTGCAAGTATCAATAGTGTGAGGATGTGATTTGAAAGCTGTTTAAATTGCTTGCAGCTGAAAGAATAAGACCATTCATTTATGTGGACCATATAACTGGGATCCTGAGGTTACAGGAAAAATGTATTGATCCATTTCAGTGTGGTCTCATTGACAGTGGTGCTCTGCCTACCATGGTGCACTCTCTGCTATTTGTGGAGATTAAAGCTCCGGGATAATTCTGTCCTGGATCTATTTACAGTAACATTCCGGTATCTCAAGTAACAGAAAACTATCACTAGCCTCTTGCTCACGATACATCTTCTGCATATCGTCCTTTCCTCTACACAAGAGTTCCTCACTGCTTACAACAGCTCTGTCACATGAGGGTGACTTTTTATGTTTTTCAAAGACAACATTGGTTCCTAAAGTACAAAAAATGTAAGAAAATACATTGATTTGTTTCATGGAAATTGCTCCGGCCTATCTCCTTCCAAGTGCCTCATCAGCTAATATACAGTCAGCTTTGTTATTGCTGCACCATTTAGAACTTCCATTGAGTGATTGTATAGCTGACAGATGTATTAAGAGAGTTTGGCAAAATTATTGGCACGTTCAGAGACTAATTGTGCTGTCAGATTGTGCTAAATTTGACATGGAAACTTGATATTGAGAAAAAATTTGAAAAAAATAAATAGTGCGAGCAAAGTGATAAAAAATTTTAAAAAAAGAAAAAGATTTTGGGCTTTTTAAAACAAAAATACTATCTACTAGGGATGCACCGAAATGGAATTTTGAGACCAAAACCGAAAATAAAAAGAGTCCTAAATCTTTTTCTGCAGCCCCTGTTATGAATGAACAGGAATCCTCTATACTGAGTGTTCCTGTTCATTCATAAACTGAGGAGATAGTATCAGTTACAATGTCCACAATCATGAATGAACAGGAAGTACTGTAGAGCACTTCCTGTTCATTTATGACTGGGACACAGTAAGGATACTATGTGCAGTTATTTTCAAACACTCAACGTTCAGCTGATCGCTGAGAGTTTGTATACTGCTCTCCATCCTGAATCGGCTGTCCTTTGACAGATCACGACGTTCTCTATCCTGATACAGGAGGCAGAGCCGGGAGGTGCGGGAGGAGAGCTGCACCTCCTGTAACGAGGACAGCTGTCACTAGATATGTGCGATTCGTTTTGGAAAAGTCAGTTTTTCGGACGCATTTTCGTTATTCACAGATTCGGATGTATCCGAATTTCCGAATAACAGAAATGACAAATGAAAACGGATCTGTATTTCCGAAAATGAAATTTAGTCTGTACGCATTTTCGTTTGTAGACGAATTTAAGAAATTGAAAATTAATGTCATTTGCTACAACGAAACGAATACGAAAAGTAAACTAAAATTCGTACAGCCTACCGCTAACGAATTTCGTCCGAATCCCGGAACAAATTGACTTTCGACCCAAATCCCGAAAAACTAAATTTCGCAAAATCTGAATCTAAACACATTTTTTGCCAGTGCACATGTCCAGCTGTCACCACCTCGTACCGCTCAGCATCCTGACCTCTATCGCCAACCGCTCAGCCTCCTGAAAGCTTCTCTGCTCCCCGCTGTGTGCCGGCCACTGCATCAGAAGGCGCCCAGCAGGGAGGAGAGAAGCTGGGATACACTGAATTTTCAGCCGCATTTTCGGCCATCATGGTACTATTGGCATTTTGCCTAAAGTGCTATTTTCGGCGGCAAAAATGTTGGTGCATCTCTACTATCTACAAAATATATCCAACTGGATTTGTTTCACTGTTTTATCAAAAAAAGTGAAAATGAGTAGAGAGGTTGCACAGAACAGCTGTTGTCAGAATTTATAAGTCTTATCTGGAAAAAAAAGAACAGTTTGGCTGATTATGTGCATAATACTCATAGGATCTGCACACCGGTTTATGGGCTTTTATTAGAATTTATTTTAGTTTTGGATAATGTTGAGGATGGATTAAAACCTGTCTGGTTCTTTTTGTTACCCAGTGTTCCATTGGAGAGATTTCCGCTCACTTTGTAAGGTACGGTGGTTTCACAAGACAGGGAGCGAGCAAAGACGGCAATGCAAAACTATCAGAAATTCTAGTCTTCCCCTACTCCAAAAATGTTTTATTTGTTTTTATTTTGTTTTTGTTTTTGTTTTGACGTAGTTTTTCTGTCACATCCTGTCTGGTGAATCTGTTACCCATATGATAATGGAGCCCGGGGCAGCACTAAAAACCTGAAAGGGGTTCTAAGCCGTCCGCATTGTATCCAAAAAGTTTAGGCTGTGTATAAACTTTAATGGCACCGATTGTTACATGCAGATGTATTTGCATAGAACAATTATTTTATTTGTTGAGCAAGTGTTTTCAAGGGAGCCTTCTAATAAAACTACTTTACCTGTAGGTGAATTTAAGCTTGCAGTGGAGTGACTGCGACATGTATGGAAGGGGAGGATCTAAGGTGGACTTACAGTAGACAGGGAGGTTAAGGTGGTTGTCATCAGTGTGGAGATATTCACTAGTTTTCCAAAGAACCATCAGGAGGCAGGACAGTGCTAAGTCTGCTTAGTTGCTTGCTCTAACAAGTGTGTTGACACTCCTCATCATACACTTCCATATAGTGGAGTATGTGCATATATTTCCAGATGTTTTGTCAGGTAAAATGTTGGCTGTATTTGTTCTTTAGACATGATACTTAAATATTTCCTTTGCATCCCTTTCAGCCATGTTAGATGAAGATGAGGAGGATCGGGTGGATGAAATAGCTCTAAGGCAGCTGACAGAGATGGGATTTCCTGAGAGTAGAGCGGTGAAGGCCCTCCGGTTAAATCAGTAGGTACTTCTGAGTTTTCTGAGTTTGTGATGATGCTTCTTATTGCTGCACATACACTCACTATATTCTAGGAGCCAGCACTGGATGGAATATCACCTGCCAGCTTACAGCAGATATTCTGAGCATTTAATGAAACCTGATAGACTGTACTGTGCCCTTCCTTCTAATGAATCTGCAGATGTCGGTGTTCTGATAAGGCAGCAGATAAGCGGTCACACAAACTTTATGAGCAGTTATATCAAATCTGTTGGTGAAGTGTTGACTACCTCACCATAAAGAGTACTCTACGTACCCACTTCGGGGCATCACATGACAATGATATTTGGCTCTTGTGTATTTAACTTGCAACGTGATAAAGTCATATTAAATGCATGCATTCCATCTCAGATGTATGTGTTGTATTGAATATCATATTCCATGCTCATGGCATCTGTCTAAAGAAAAATGCTTGTTATAGAAATAAAGCGTTGTCCGAAAGTATGCTGCTAGTCCCCACATAGACTGCTCCACTGGACTGAAGCACTTCTGTAGATGTCCGAAGGGTATTTAACCTCTACTAAGTGAAATACAGAGTTACCATTGCTGATTTCTTTTAGAAAATGCCGGTTGCCTCAGGATTCAGTACTTTGAAACACTGCCCTGGAACAGACATGGATAGTCAGGATAAATCCTTCAGAGATCCTATTATGGTTATTTGTTCTGAGTCACTGATATGGAAAGTACTAAAACCAATGGATCAGCCTGACAGCCAGGTAACCAGCAGTTACAGGAGGAGAGGTCAGCAGTAGCAGCTTGCATACCTTCTCACTGCAGGTTTCCTTTTAAAGCTTTCTGAAGGTTCATTGGCATTGTATGATGGTTTTATGCCTACGTTGGCCATGTGCCTGTCTGTCTCACTTGGACTCTGTTTCCCTCTATCATTTTCTGATTGTTTTCTTCTGTACTTGTCTCAGCATGTCAGTGACACAGGCCATGGAGTGGTTGATTGAGCATGCAGATGATCCAGCAGCAGACACTCCTCTCCCAAATGAAAACATGTCAGAAGTGGCGGGAGATTCTGCCTCAGCTGACCCCAGAACCAGCTTAGGAGCCACAGCAGAGGAGCCTACAGATGAACTCACAGAAATCTTTAAGAAGATTAGAAGGAAAAGAGAATTTCGGCCTGACCCTCGGGTGTGTTAACTAGTCATTCAGTGATAAAATGTTTAAGCACTTGAAAACTTGCTATGTATTTCCCCTTAAAGGATACCTGTACTCGGAAAATACATAAGATGCTATTGTAGAACTCTTTCAGAAAATGCTACTTGTCTGGCTGTAAAGACATCCTTACAGTCATTGATTTAGAATAAGCATGCAGATGAAGACTTCTGGCCTAACTAGCTGCTTCTGAGTCAGTGACTCAATTATTTAGGCCAGAGACAGCTAGGCAACTGGTATTTTCTGAATGGGGACATCCGATGTACCACGTCTCCCAGTACACGCTTTTTCTAAAGCCTCCAGGACGTTTATGAACATCTAGACAGGCCATTTTTGCTATACACTCTAGTAAGGGCTGATTGTCAGTTTGAGAAGTGAAGCCTCAGTCTGCAAACAGAAGCCAGTGAGGGCCTTGGCGATCAGTGTAACCTCTTATTACAGTGATCATTCACTGTAAATTTGGGACACTTACAGGGTTATTCACAAAAGGGTGAAGAGTTTGGAGAAGGTAGGAGAAGTGAACAGTCTAGGACAACATAGCTGAACTGGAAAGAAATCTCCAAATTCATTCACTTTCCAGTTCAGCTATGTTGTCCTAGATTGTTCACTTCTCCAAACTCTTCACCCTTTTAGTGAATAACCCTGTTTATCTCCAAGGTAAAAGTTCCAGATGTTATTGTAGATCAAATGTTTGTGAATAATGATTCTGCCTAATTACACTCAGTTAACTCCCATAATAAGTCCTCTTTTACCTTCTTCTAGTGCTTTTTGCTGGTGAACGATTTGGGGAAAAAAGTGTTTTAGTTTTATTTGCCTTTTAAAATACATAGAAAATGAAGACAATACCACCAAAGTGGAGCCATGCTTTTCCACCAGAAACTATATACATATAGCTAGTAACTATATACTATACAGTAGGTCCATAGCTAAAATGTGAACATTTCATAAGGGGTAACTAGCCACTACCCCGAAAGGTGATAAAGCCAATACCGCACATCTGTTAGATGATGGCAGGGTGGATTCACAACAGCGGCTGCTGTTTGTGCATTTGATGTCACAGTGCCAATGCGCATCACACTGCTTTCTTTCCTTTTTCTGTTAAAACGTTATTTACATGTCACAAGCGACAATTTCATTCCAAAGGCACAGAGTGGTGCGATTCCAGTACACTAAAAAAAAAAAAAAAAGTACTGTATGCAGTACTTTTTTCAGCACACACCACTGCAAAACAGTAATGTGAACTGTGACCATCCTTGACGAGGCAATTTGCCTTGTTATACGTTGGGGTTGCATTGGAAAAAATGTTTAGCGCAGCCCCAAAGCATCTGGTGTGAATCAGCCCTAAAGAAAGGCAATCTTATTCAATTCTAACACTGTGGTAGAAGAGCTGATTGTGCTCATGTTGCTCTGGGCTACAGAGTAATGCAGACGGTTGAGTGATGAAATGTCAGTGTACTGTACAGTATACGTGTGGCTTTAGTGACATTTCTTCTCCGCATAGGCTGTCATTGCTCTGATGGAGATGGGCTTTGATGAGAAAGAAGTGATTGATGCACTGCGTGTGAACAACAATCAGCAGGATGCAGCTGTGAGTAGTAGTACAAACTAACCCTAAGCTCTTTCTCTGCACCTCCCTTTCATTGACGGACCTCTGTTTGCTTTACTTTTATCACGTTTCTCATATATCATCTCTCCTTTTTTCTTTTCTTTTTCTCTCTCACTTTCTCCTTTTTTTTCCCTCACTCTCTACCCCCATTCTTCTTTTTAAATCGTCCCGTGGTGTCTCACTCTCCTTTTTCTTTCTTTTTCCTTCCCTCCCTTCTCTTTCATTTGCTCTCTCTCTCTCTCTCTCTCTCTCTCTCTCTCTCTCTCTCTCTCTCTCTCTCTCTCTTCTTAT